TATATATATATGTGTGTGTAAAATTTTAATTTGCTGTCAATACATTTTATTCATATTATAAAATATATAAATAAACACACGCATATATATATATATAAAATCTAAAATGTATGTATATTATATTTTTTATGTCAAATGTTTATTTTATAATCAAATAATAAATAAAATAATGAATATTTATAAATATTCATAATATTAATAAAATGTTTGTGAGAGCAAATGTGAAATTTGAGTAATATATTGTTTGTTAGCATTAGTCACTGAAAGAATCAGCCAATAAAATAGAGTATGTTAATATATCAGTGGTTGAGTGTATTATTTTTAATGCTTTGTGTGTGTGTGTATAAAATTTTTTGTTTTTTTTTGTTTGTTTTTTTAAATAATTCTTGTTTTTCTTTTCTTTCAGTCGTGTGGTCTTGCCATGCTCGGTGGAAGAGGTGAGTACATTTTTTTTTACATTTACCCCCCAAGACCTAATAAGTTAAAAATGAACTGTAAATGTGCAGCATCACTTTGACATTGAAAGCCAGCGGAGACCCACATTTCCTGTGGTTTAATAACGCTGATGTGATACTAGTTCCATTAGCAGCATCCGTAGAGTCAGACGGCTCCATCTGATGTTTCTCTAGAGTTCAACATCACAATAGTAACATATAACCCCAGCGTTTTGAACTCATCTGGCATGTTGAGGATTTGATCAGAGCAACAAAGACAAGTTAAAGCATGTCATGCATGTAGAACACGCTTGCCCTCAGGGAACATTTGAGTCTCGTGCTCTTTTGAGAGAAGCAACCTTGATGCTTGCTTGATTGGCATTGTTTGATATTTTGCATTAAGGGTGCCGCTGATTCGTAGCATACAGTCAGACTACTTTTGTGAAGTCCTTTTGCAGCCTGACAGCTGTCAAGCTGACTGTTTTTAAGTGATCTGAGTTGCAGATGCGTTCATACGTGATGCACAGATACAAGGATCCTCTTTCAGAAAAACACTCTAGGGCTTCGTTCTATAACCTAGTGAGCTGACTACAGTGCATGCATGTTATGGCATCATAGTTGCGCTCAACGCTTTTCCTGTGTTTAGAATGCAAGCCCAGAATGCACTGCAACAAGCTCAGTAGGGATTTAATGATTAACTGCGAGCCGGTCGAAAATCGATTCAAATATGTGACAATTCATATCGGTTGAGATGCCAAACAAATCACGATACAATTGGAGTAGGAGTTTATATGAATGTATGTCTGAGGGTTACTGAATATCTTTAGAAAAGTTTACGTGGCATTTTCTTTTCATCTTGCCTCTGAACGATGCATATTAAAGTAGTGTTCATAAGCGCAGCGCTGCTTTGTTTACAGCGGTAACCCAGAAAACACTGTTTCATTGCTGTTCCATGAGTGCCACCTGCTGTCAGAAAGTGAATCTGTGTCTCATTCAGCGCTTCTGCTCTTTCGTTCAGATATGTTTTATGTAGTATAGTTTCACAAAACTAAAGTCAGACCATTCTCTTTTTGCTTCAAATTATGAAATTATACAGTCTAATTTAGATTAAAAAATTTGTTTGGATCATGATTAAAATCCAGTGGTTGCCTCTAAATTTTAAATGGAAAGAGCACAGACAAAGCAACCCTCTACATTGCGAGTAAATCACTCGCATATGTGACTACATTTTCACTCTGGGCGACTAAATGTCTATCGTTAGCCATTGGCTAATATATTCTTAGATTTTACTCACCAGTGTGTGTTAGAGGCTATGTACAAGTTTAGTACAGATATATTTTCACTCGCTGAACACTGACTGAGCGCTTGAAAGTTTCACTCTCCGTCAAGCGATCTGTACTATTTTAATTCAGCTCAATGGATGCGCAGCGCACCTGTATTTGCCGCACCGTAAACTCTAGTGTTAAGGCGCATGAGTCGCCGTCGCTTTGCTGATAGCGCTGTTTCTCACACATGCAAAGAGAGTGAGCGAGAGTCTTACATACCACGCTGAATCGACGCGCTACATGTAAACTATATTCTTTGTTGTATTTTCCTTTCAAAATAACGGAGTTCATTTACAATTATTCAGCTTTTAAGAACAAGCAGAAGATATTCTCCAGTAGTGGGCGGAACTAATGCGCAAACGGCATTCTCATTGGCTGGAGCTCATCTATGATCGTCCCTGTTTTGATCTCAGCAAATCAGTTCGAGCGATCGCAGACAACGTGATTAATATTCATGAACCCAGCAGCTCATCAATCCTTAGTACATTGTATATTCTTAGTATAGTAGCAGAATTAGTAGTATTATTATCTTTTAATAATAATTACTATTATCTATTACTATTATTTTTTTTACAGAAACCCTTAATGACTAGGGCTGGGTAAAAAATATTGATTTCTCGATATTAATCGATTCTCAATTTTACGGAACGATATCGATTCTTAAATCCCAAGAATCGATTATTCTAGCCTGTTTTCAGTTAAAGGGGTCATATGATGCTTTTTTAAAGATCATTATTTTGTGTATTTGGTGTAACAGAATATGTTGACATGCTTTAATGTTCAAAAAACACATTATTTTTCAAATACTGTACATTATTGTAGGTCCTCTATGCCCCGCCTCTCTCAAACGCTTCGTTTTCTACAAAGCCCCCTCCTTAAAGACATCAATATAACAGCTTGTAAACAATGTCACGTAACGTCATATTTACCTCAGATAAACATATTCGGTGACCAAAAACTCATTAGCCAGCTAGAAAAATAAACTGTAGAGAGGGGCATTTTGCTAAATATATGCACCATATAACATATTCATTATAAATGTTACTGTTCTTCAATTTTTAATTTTCATAAAAGTTTTTATGACAGCCACCATTATGTTTATATTTTTTTTTAAATGAATTGAAGTAGAAATATTATTATGTAATTGTAACTTTATTATTTTAAAAACTTCATTGTGTAATTTTAACAAATCAGTCAATTTTAACCTTCAATATTATAGTAATGTAGTACCAACTGACTCATGTATATTTTACAGCATTAGTTGAGAGATTTTTTTTTTTCTATGAGGAAATTTGGCATGTACTGTAACTGATATATATATCCAAAATAATCGTTATTGAATTTAATCGAATCGAATTGGTAATAGAATCGAATCTCAAGCTTGTGAATTCGAATCGAATCGAATCGAATCGAATCGAATCGCGAAATTTGTGTCAAAACCCAGCCATATTAATGACCAACAATACCTTAAGCATCACCACAAATATGCATTCACACATATGCATTTACCAAGTTTTAGTTCTAATCACTAAAGTTCTATCATTAAATAGTACTTAATTATCATAATATAATATAATGCTTGGTTGACTGATTAAGAAACTAAGATTTAAGAAGCTGTGCCATTTTACAAAGATAAGCTGATTGGAATCGTGTGTGTGTAAAATAGTTTATCAGTCTGGCGAGTACACTAAAAAATTTACTAGCCAATGACGATTATATTGGCAAGGTGTGCGTAGAAGGTTGCAAAGCCTTAGTTTGTTCATATTAAGAGATTTCTTTTATTTGTGTAACTTGTTTGATTTGGGGTTTGTTTTAAAATTTCAATTTAGTTTTGTTACATTTCAATTTCACAAAGAAACATGCAGCAATAGCCTAATAAAACGACACTTTTCATTTACTGTATAATGTCTTAAATCTCATTTTGTTAAAAAAAATCGTGAGAAATTCGAATCAGGAAATCAAAATCGTGAATCGAATCGTTACATCCCTAAAGCTCAGTGAGAAAATAAATCCAAGATGATGGAAGACACCATTTTTTATTTATTTTGACTTATTTTTTATTAAATTGTTTTGTATTTTGCATTTTCATTTGAGATAAAATTCTAGTTTTGTTGTTTGTTTTTGGGTTTGACTTTTAAATGTCTAGCAGTGTTATTTTAGTTTCATTAAGATACTATTACAGTTTTTATTTTGAATCAGTATATATATATTAAT